AGGCTCCTCCTTAGAGAGCCTCTGGGGGCCTCACAAAAGTTGTTTCAGGCTTTCTTTAGGCCTTCTGGAGGCCTCCTGGGCGTATTCTGGGGGCCTCTGGGGGCTTCCTCGGGCCACCCTGCCTCCAACCGCGGTCTCCCTGAACGACCGGGTCACGATTTGGAATGCTTCGGAGGGTGTCTTGGAGCCATCTTGGGCCGCCATGGGGCTCTCTGAGGGCCAACTTGGACCCGTGTTGTGCCGTTTTGGGGCTCTCTTGGACTGCCTGGAAGCCCTTTCGGATGGTTGTGGGGCGATTTTGGAGCCTCCCAGGCGGCTTCGGACGCCCAGAAGACCGCCGTCTTGGAGCGTCGGGAAGCCGAAAAGAGGAGAACCCTACAATTCACCAACAACCAACAGACAATCAATGAAAATTGCCTCTTGGGGCCTTCTTCGGAGTGCTCTTGGAGGCCTCTTTGGGGCCGTCCTGGAGGCCTCTGGGGCCATCTTGAAGTCACGGCGGTCACTCTTGGAGCGCTCTTGTGCTGTCCTGGGGGTCTCTGGGACGTCTCCGATGACCCCCCTGATCGCCCCAGGTGTGCTGAGAAGGCTTGGCAAAACGCCCTGCGAGGCCCGTCCAGAGGGTCCCAAAGCCCCAGATCCCGGGAGATCGGTTTTTGGGGGGTGGGTGGGGTGGGGGGTTCTCCCCCCGCCCGGGCTTATACAACTATAGGAAGAGGAATCTATTCGTCGGGGCATTCAAGAATCTTTCGGCGTTCTCGCGTCTCCAGCGTCCTCGCGCTCCAAGGACGGGCGAAGAGGACCCGCAGAGCGCCCCCAAAATGGTCCACGAGGCTGCCCTTAAGAGAGCCCCAAGACGACCCAACACAGCCTCAACGCGGCCCCATAGGTCCCCAAGAGGCCCCAAAGAGGCCCCAGGCGGCACCCCAGACACCTTACAAAAGCACCCAAGAGGCCCCAAGACGGACCCACACATCCTTAAGAAAGCCCCAAGACGGCCCCATCGACCCCGGAGGTCCCCACGAGGCCCAAAACGGGTTCCATGCTGCCTCCCAGAGACCCTGCAAAAGCCCCCAAGAGGCCCCAAGATGCCCAACAGGTTTTCAAGAAAGCCCAGGTCAACCCAGGAGAGCCCCATCGGCCCCAGAGGAGGCCCATGCGAGGCCCCACAAGGCTTTCAAACACCCCACGGAAGTCCCCCAAAGGTCCTCAGAGACTTCAACACAGCATCCAAGAGACCGCGAGACGCATCCCAAGAGACCCTCACATGCGTCCAAGAGGCCACTGACCCACAAACCAAGTTAGCCCAAGGCAGCATCCACAGGCCCCCAAGACGGTCCGAGACGGCTCCAAGAACACTCCCACAACAACGCCTCTAGACGGCTCAAGGTGGACTTCAGGCTGTCCAGGAATCCACCCAACACGCCTACAGAAGTTTCAACAGCACTCCCGCAGCCCCCCAGAGCCACACCATGGATTTTCTTCAGGTTGTTTTAGCGTTCTCGCCTTCTCGGCGTCCCCACGCTCCCGGAGTGCCCAAGAGGCCCCTCGTAAAGCCCCAGGACGACCCAAGAGAACCTCAGGCTCCCGACTCCTCAAGAGGCCCACAGGAGGCGCACGCAGCACCCCACAGACCTTGCAAAGACCCCCAAGCTCCAGGACGGCCCAAAAAAGTTCCGAGATGACCCACGAGAGTCCCACAACGGCCCCGAAGGTCCCCAATATGGCCAGAAGAGGCCCCACGAGGCCCCCATGATACCCTCCAAAGATGCCCAAGAGACTTCCACACGGCATCCTAGAGACACCCGAGAGGTACCCAAGAGAATTTCGCATGTATTCACAAGGACACTGACCCACAACCCAAGTCCGGCGGCGGGTTGGCCGAAGGCCAATCTAGTATTTACGCATTCCGACGCTTCAGCCCCACGTGGCCCGAAGCCACGTGCCAGATGTTTCCAAGCAGCCTTTTGAACCCACATGAGCCCCCCAAAGGACCAGAATCACCCCAATATCCACCACGACGGCTTCAAAAATTGCCCGTGACCACATCAAACCCTCCCAGGACTTCCCTAAAATATGAATTTTCTCGCAAGGGCTCCGAAGGCCTGGAATGGCACCAGGATGGTCCAATCATGGCCCCGAAAGGCCCCCAAAGCATCAAGGCAGCTGAGATTTCCCCAAGAGGCGCCACCAACAGGCCCAAGAGGGCCTCAGACAGGACAGCCCAATGAGCTCTCGCGCCCCGACTCCTGACTCTGCTCCTCACCTCCTTTATTCATCCTCTTCCCCAATCTCCCACATTCTCCTCAAACCCATCATCTTTGATGAGCTATGTCTGTATGTCTGTCCGTCTGTCTGTCTGTATGCATGCATGCATACATGCATGCATACATGCATACATGCACGCATGCATGTAACTATGTAGGTAGATCGGCATGTATGAATGCATGTATGTATGTCTGTATGTCTGTATGTATGTATGTAAGTAACTAAATATGTATGTATATACACATGTATACACATATATACACATATGTGAGCGCATATATGCATGCATGTATGTATGTTTGCATGTGCGTTTGTAGATATGTACGTACGCACGTACGTATGTATGTATGTATGACTATACGTATGTATGTATGTATGTATGTATGTATGTATGTATGTATGCATGCATGTATGCATGTATGCATATATGCATGTATGCATGTATGCATGTATGCATGTATGCATGTATGCATGTATGCATGTATGCATGTATGCATACATGCATGCATACATATATGCATGTATGCACGTATGCATGCATGTATGTCTGTCTGTCTGTCTGTCTGTCTGTCTGTCTGTCTGTCTGTCTGTATGCATGCATGCATGCATGCATGCATGCATGCATGCATGTATGTATGTATGTATGTATGTATGTATGTATGTATATATGCATGCATATATGTATGCATGTATGCATGTATGCAGGCATGCAGGCATGCATTCATGCATGTATGTATGTATGCATGCATGCATGCATGCATGCACGTATGTATACTTAACAGGACACCAGCGATGCCCCTGACCACCGTTAGATTTCCCCCAAACTGAATTTTGATGGCTCCTGGAGTCCTTTGGGCCTGTCGAGCCTCTGGGGCACCACCCTGGCTTCCCAGACAGCCTCGATGGTTTCGGGAAGCTCCTGGCGATGCTCCAAGATTGCCCCAACATGGCCCAAGAGGTTTCGAGACAGCGCCAAGGGGGCCCCAAGGGACTTCCCGATGGGTTATGCGCAGGAGCCCTGATACACGGAACTCATCAGTGTCCACTGGTTGTCTCACACATAGTTGACACACACTGACCTTTCCGGCTCCAGATGGCTCCAAGAAGGCCACCAGAAGCCTTCAAGAGGACCTCAGAGGCCCACAAGAGCCCTCAAGAAGACCCAAGATGCCCCTCACATGGTCTAGGACGGCCTCCAATATTGCCATCAGACGGCTCCACAACTGTCCAAGATCGCCCTAGCGTCACTTGCCGAATGATCCCAGTGGCCCCGAGGGACCCCAGAAAACGCCAAAGCGTCCCCAAGAAGGCCCCGAAAAGGTCCAAAGTGGACCCCAACACAGCACAAGCCAGCGACCACCCACACGCCCCCTCTGCTTCCAATGGCTTCGCTCCCTCGGTCCCTCCCTCCACCGCTCGTCGCTCCCGCCTTTAATCGGCTTCCTTTGTTCCCCCTGTCCAACCTGGCCCCCGCAACGGCCCCAGGACGGCCCCAACCGGCCTTCAACCGCCACCACAACGGCCCTTCCACCCCGCCAGCCGGTTACCACCTATCTGCATCTCACACCATCTCCTGGGCCGTCTGGAGGCCATTTTGGGCGTCTTGGAGAGCTCATGGGCCGACTCAGAGGCCTCTTGGACCGCCTTGGGGGGCTGTTTGGGCCCTCTTCGCCCTTCATGGGACCCTCTCGGCGCTGAAAAACTTTTTGCGACAAGTCTCAAGAGCGCCAGAAGCGGCAGGGAGCGCCCGAAAGTACCCGAGAGCGCCCAGGAGCGCTCAGAACTCGTTGCTGCGGGTCCCTTGAGCATCCTCAGGGTTGAGGACGGAGGACTCTAAGGGGCCATAGGGCATTCGACTCAGTGCCTCGCGGCACGGTGGCGGATATCTCAAGTAGATGCCAGTCTGATAGCAAGCTAGACTCATCAGTTATACATCTAAAGTATGAACTTGATACTGTGGCAGTTCTAGTTCATATTCATAATTCGTTCGAGTTGTAAACGTTAGTTCGCTGTCGTCATACATCGGCCAGGTCGCAACCAGTTTCTCAGAGTACGTGGCACCTTTTTAAAGCAGTGCGCTCTATCATGAAGTTGTGCTTGCATTCCATCCACTATTGTAGTATGTATCGAACGACGCTCGTTTTGCTGTGTCTCAACCGGAAGGGACATATCACAATTGGTTGCGATCGGTGCCAAGAAATTTGGATCGGTCCTATATGATTACGATGTGGTTCCATCGCCCCCTGCCCCCCTCTGCTACCCCCTCCATTTTTTGACGTTGCGCGAACTAGGGGACTGAACCTGAAGCGTTGTGTGATGATGCAAACAATTGCCGACTTAGGCGCAGCAGCGAACAAATTAGGCTGCGGACGGGTGCAGAAGCGGCTGTGCAAAGAGACAAAGTGGCCCTCAGGGGCTAGAGTAACCCAGTCCGCGGCGACAGGTGCGGGGAGGCACCATACAGCCAATAAAGCCGGAGAAACCCGAAAGGCAAATCGGAGAAACGGATCTCGAGTCAGGATGTCCCCCCCTCCCTTTCCCTTCTCCTCCTCCGCCTCCCCTCCCTTCTCCTCCCTTCGCTGCCTCCGCCGCTCCCCTCCCTCTCCCCACCCGTCCTCCGTTCGGCCTCGCCTCTGCCTCCGCCTTCCTCCCCGGCTCCACCTCCGCCTCGACCCCTCGCCTTCGTCTCCGTTCCCTCGTGCTCGCCCCTCCTCCCTTCGAGCCCGCGGCAGGAGGACGCCGCGCAGCAGGCGCACACCGCCGCGGAGCTGGAGCCGCCCGAGCCGAAGCCCGAATCCGCCGACACCGGCGGAGCTGCCCGAGCCGAAACCACACCGTTCTTCGGTGCTGCCAGCACAGGGGGCAGCCTCTTCGGTGCGGGGACAGGCGGCATCATGTTCGGCGCTGCCAGCACAGGGGGCAGCCTCTTCGGCGCGGGCACAGGCGGCGGCACGTTCGGCGCTGCCAGCACAGGGGGCAGCCTGTTCGGCGCGGGCACAGGCGGCGGTACGTTCGGCGCCAGCAGCACAGGGGGCAGCCTCTTCGGCGCGGGCACAGGCGGCGGCACGTTCGGCGCTGCCAGCACAGGGGGCAGCTTCCTCGGCGCGGGCACAGGCGGCGGCATGTTCGGCGCCAACAGCACAGGGGGCAGCCTCTTCGGCGCGGGCACAGGCGGCGGCATGTTCGGCGCCAACAGCACAGGGGGCAGCCTCTTCGGCGCGGGCACAGGCGGCGGCATGTTCGGCGCCAGCAGCACAGGGGGCAGCCTCTTCGGCGCGGGCGCAGGCGGCGGCATGTTCGGCGATGGCAACACACGGGGCGGCCTCTTCGGTGCAGGCACAGGCGGTGGAGTGTTCGGCGCTGCCAGCTCAGAGGGCGGCGTCGCCGTTGAGCTGGCGCCGGCCGCGCTGGCATCGGTGCTGGACCCCGCGGAGCCAGCGCCGGCTGCGAAGAAGGCGGCGTCGGCCACATTTGCGGCCGAGCAGGAGCCAGCAGCGCCCGCGCTGTCGCCGTGTTTCGCTGGCCTCGCGGCTGCTGCAGACGAGGGCAAGTGGAAGTGCGACGTCTGCTCCCTGAAGTGGGACGCCGATCTGATCAAGTGCAAGGCCTGCGAGGCATTCAAGCCGGGCATGTCCGAGGAGGACATTGCCGCCTCGAAGGCGGCAGAGGAGAAGAAGAAGCAGGACCTCGTCGCCATGTTCCGATCGCCCTCGGCGACCGGCAGCGCCTTCTCGGGCTTCGGCTCGGTTGGCGCGGGGGCGTCAGGCTCCAGTGGCAGCAGCGGCGTCGCCTTCGGCGCGATCTCGGCTTCACATAGCTCCAGCGGCTTTGCCTTCGGGGCGGCCCTGGGCGCCCAGAGCTCTGGCGGCGGCTTGGTCTTCGGCGCGTCCCCGGCCGCCGGAAGCTCCGGCAGCTCCGCCTTCGGGGCGGCTCTCGGGGGCAACGATGGGGGGCTAGGCTCAGGGGGAATTGATCGACCCCAAATAGCCCTATGATTGTCGATAGGGATCTGATAACCGCACCCCGCCCAGGAACGTGTGGACTCGCTATCGCGGTCCAATCGCCGAATGTATCGGCGATGTATCGCCGTTTCCAGGTCGATGCTTTACCCCCTGCGCGGCCCTCATGCCATGTCATGTTACTCGTGCGCTTTGACCCTAGCAGGGGTCTGGGGGCCCATTTTGAACGCGATGCTCGCTGCTTTGCTCTCCGATCTCCCCATCCCCGCCTTCTCCCTCCGGGGTTGATCTGCTTACAGTCGGGGCGCTGAAGAAGCAGCCCTTTTCGTTGGGGAGGGGCTCGGTGTTCCTTGATTGTTTTTCAGCCTGCCTTCGGTTTTCCTTAGGTCTTCGATGGGAACTCGAAGTTTAACTCATGGAAGAAATGGGCTTCGTTCCTTATTCAGGGTTCCTTAGGTCAACGCCCCGACTGTACCCCTCCGAGCTGGTCCCCCCCAAGCGCTGTCCCTCAGGCTCAGGGCGCCCAGAGCTCTGGCGGTGGCTTCACCTTCGGGGCCTCCCCGGGCGCGCAGAGCTCCAGCGGCGGCTTCACCTTCGGTGCGGCGGCCTCGGACGCCGCCAGCTCGGGCGGGGGCTCCGCCCTCGGCTCGGGGGGCGGCTTCGCCTTCGGGGCGCCCGCGGGCTCGCAGAGCGCCAGCGGCATCACGTTCGGCTTCGCAGGCCGTCCTACCCGACCCCGCACCAAGCCTCTGGGTCGGTTCTGGAGGTCGCCGCGGCGATCGCAGCAGTCACGAGCTGGGGCAAGGCTTCTGTCGAGCAGCGGCATGCCCCTGCCCAGCCCCCCCCTCCCCCTCCCAGCCCAGCCCCCGCTCCGCGGTGCAGACGTGGCCGAGAGTTCACGAGGTGAGAAGCGACGGAGAGTTGTCAATCTGTGTCTGGCACGGGCAGTCGTGCTCTTGGGGTCTGGGGTCGGTTCCCATGCAACCAGGCCATCAGCCCGCGGGCTTCAATCCGGCGCTGCCAGCGGCGGGCCGCAAGCGGCTGGCCCAGGCGCCCGACCTCGCGCGCCAGGGCGAGGCGCCCGTGGGCCTGGTCTTCGTGCACGGCAGCGGCGAATGCGACCAGCTCGGGCTGGGCGACTCGCAGCGGACCCGGCAGAAGCCGACGCTGGTCAAGGGCTTGGGCGAGGTGCGTGTCTGCGACGTGGCGGTGGGGGCCCTGCACGTGCTCTGCGTCTCGGCGGACGGGCGCCTGTTCTCCTGGGGCTGCAACGACGACGGGGCGCTGGGGCGGGCCTCCAGCGGCGACTCCGACTGCCTGCCGGGCCGCGTGACCCTGCCGGGCGACGCGCCCGTGCAGCGGGTGTCCTGCGGGGACAGCCACAGCGCAGCGGTCGACAGGGACGGCAGCGTCTGGCTGTGGGGAACGTACAAGGACGCCAATGGGCACATCGGCATCGCCCGAGGGAAGCAGGACCCGGTCGTGGAGAAGAGCGCCGAGCCTGCCAGCTCGGAGGAGGGCCGGTTGAGGCCACGGTGGCTCTCGCGCCCAGCGCAGCCCCGCTCAGAATCGGCCCCCAGACCCCTCTCGACTACACGTAAGAGTGACCTTTCGCCGGAGTGACCTCTGGTGCGGGCCCAATGAGCGCGAAGCGGTAGCAGCGGCTTGTGCGCCCAGGTTTGGCCACCCCGCGTCCCCCGTTTTGCCGCGCACTACCCAGGGTCACTCTTACGTGTAGCCGACCCCTCCTGGTGCCCACCCCGACTCGTGTTCCGAGGCGGGTCTCGCCGTGGCGACGAGAAGCCTCCAGGAGGCCCAACAAGAAAACGACAGGCGCCCTCGTGTTCCGAGGCGGGTCTCGCCGTGGCGACGAGAAGCCTCCAGGAGGCCCACCCGAAAAACGACAGGCGCCCGGGAGTGCCGCCGCCGTCTCGACTGGCCCTCCTCCGGCGATCGTCCTCGAGGGCTGCTCCCGGATCGCGAGCGGCGCCAACCACACCGTGGCGCTGGGCCCGGGCGGCAGGGCGTTCGCGTGGGGCTCGAACGGGACGGGCCAGCTGGGCCTCGAGGGCGGCGAGGGCTGCGGCCTCCGCGAGGAGGTGGTCGGCCTCGCCGGCGGCCGAGCGGAGGTGCGGCAGCGGGACGGCGGTGGTCGGCGGTTCGAATGTCGGGGGGGCCGCAACGTGTACTCCAGATTTCGTAATAAAAGGGAGGGGGTCTGGACCCTCCAAGACAAGCCATTTCAGACCTCCCCCGTGGGAGAACCCTCCAAGACATCGTCCCCAGACCCCCCAGGCCCTCCAAGATAGCCTGGAAGAGTCCCCCCCCCCGAAATGAACCCCCCCTCCCTTTATTACGAAATCTGGAGTACGGAACCCGTGGGCACAATGCCAAGGCCAACAACAGTGCTGGTGCATTCTGAACAGGATTCGCCGTCGGCGTCGCGGCGCCGTTTGAGGCACAAGCTCGCCTGCCCAACAGCGGCCGCTGTCGGTTTTGGACAGCTTCTGCTGCTGGGCATCGTAACCTTTTTTCCGCACCCATGTCGGGCGTCCAGAGAGGATGGGGCCTTGAGGGGTGAGGCCCTCGGGACAGGAAGTGGATCACGAGTCGAATCTTTCTTGTTTGCGGTTATCGTCCTCCCGGGGCCCCATTTCTCGGGACGCCGTCTTCATCATGGCCACGGGACGGCACTGCTTGGTACGGTATCAGCGGCACGCGGCACCGGCACGGTTTGCTGTGCCCGCTTACTGCCGCCGGTGCCAGTGAGTACTGCCGTACGGTAGCGCGACCCCGCGATCTTGGTACCAGTACGGTGCCGGGACCGCGCGGTAATGGTACGGTGCCAGGACCACGGCCGGCACCGGTACGGTATTTGGAAGGACGAAGGGGAACGGAGACAGGAAGGAAGAGGAGGAGGAGGACCAGTGTAAACCCAAGGCCCATCAACAATGTTGGAATACGCCCTCCCTCCAAGCTTTCTCTTCATAGACCCTAACAAGGACTCATTTCCACTGAGGGAAGTGCCCCGTTGGGAGAGAACCGTTTGAAGATCCTTGAGCGTACCAAACATCGTTCTCGGGACTCCAACACCACGAGATAACTTGACTGTTGCGGCATGACGATTTCTTCCGAAACGCCGTCTCTGGTACGTTGGTTAACCATGCGAGTCCGTGAACCCTTTCTAATTGTTGCACGCGTCGTTCAGGCCAGAGCCACATCTTGAAAAGGAGCCTCCCTCAATCCGTCATGATCTCGCACATAGTTAAGACGAGTGCGCGCAGCGCTAAAGCGAGAGCCGCATTTTGAAACTGGCCCGCCCTCATTCCGTGAAGCTCTTGCAAATTCTTACGACGAGTGTGCGCGGGCCTAAGGCGAGAAGTACATTTGAAGATCCGCCCGCCCTCAATCCGTACAGCTCCTACAATTTTTTAAGACGAGTTTGCGCGGCGCTACGGCGATAATCACATTTTGAAAACAGCCCGCCCTCAATCCGTGAAGCTCGTATGTGCACGGGCGCTAAGGCGAGACTCACATGTTTAAAACCACCCGCCTTCCATGCGTGAAGCTGTTGCCAATTTTGATGCTTCGCGATGATGAATGGTGAGGAAGTCTGAGGCGAAACGCCTGGCCCGCCTTTTTGACCAGACTCGGAGTGCGACAGTGAGAAGTTATGTACACGGAGAAGGAATGGAGGAGAAGGATGATGATGAGGAGGAGGAGGATGACGAGGAAGCCAGGCTCAGGCCCAGCGGTGCTAAAGGCCCGATTCCAGCAGGGCCGCATGTCGAGAGGTCTGGCCCTCCGGAAGAAAGGCGTCCTTCGATAATCGCCGGTTTTACCGAAAGGAGGAGGAGGAGGAGGGGAAGGATGATGAGGAGGAGGAGGAGCAGGAGGAGGAGGAGGTGGATGAGGAGGAGGAGGAGGAGCAGGAGGAGGAGGAGGAGGTGTAGGAGGAGGAGGAGGAGGAGGAAGAAGAAGAGGAGGAGGCAGGAAGGGATGAGGAGGCAAAATGGATGAGGAGGCAGGTGGGGAGGGGGGAAGTAGGAGGAGGCATGAAAGGATGTAAGAAGGAGCAATGACCCTCCCTCCAGGGAGGAGGGAACTCGGCGCGCTGTTTTTGTGGATTCGGGGGAGCTTGGGGATTCTAAGGGTTCTGCAGGGCCCTGGGGGTTACTGGGGGGCCCTGGGGGGCCCTGGGGGATTCTGGGGGCCCCTGGGGGGCCCTTGGGGACCCTGGAGTGGGTCCTCCTCCTCCTCCTCCTCCTCCTCTCCTCCCTCTCCTCCTCCTCCTCCTCCTCACCCTCCCTCCTCCTCCTCCTCCCTCCTCCTCTTCTTCCACAATCACACAACATTAATGCTACTATCCTCTCTCCCCTGATGACGTCCTGAAGATATCCGGCCACCCTCGGCGTATTTTTTTACACAGGATTCCCGTGAACTGGGTTTTCACTTGTTTTGTTTTCAAAATCTTGCTCCCGCTGGAGCTCTGGCCTCATTTCCATGCTTCCGCTCGCTCCGAATCGTGCTCCCGCTGAAGCGTTCGGCTCATTTCCGCGCTGCCGCTCGTTCCGAATCGTGCTCCCGCCACAGCGCTGGCGTCATTACTTCCAGTGCCACGCCACGGCATGGTTTTCGATCCTTCCCAATCGGCCCCAAAATCTGAAACATGCCCCCCCCCCCCCCCTCCAATGTGTTGTCGATTCGTTGATTTTTTGGTCCGCGGAAGCCCCCCCCACTTTGGGGCGTCGCCACGCCAGGCTATGTCATGCTACGCGTTGATCTTCAACACCATGCTATGCCATGTGATGCTTTGCCATGCTACGACATCCCACTGTGCGAATAGAGAGGAAATCTACGCCATGGTAAGGAATGGGAGGGAGGGGTACTTAGGACGTCAGATGCTACGCGAGCGCAAATAGCTTGTCCTCCTCCTCTGCCTTCCTCTTTGATGAGGGTCCTGCCCGCCTCCCTCTTCTCCTCCTCCTTCTCCTCCTCCTTCTCCTCCTCCTCCTTGGCCCGATCGCGGCGCCCCCCCCATCCGAATTCCTGTCTGGGTCCGCTACCAGCGTAGCGACGAGGCGGGGCGATTGCCTCTTTCGGCCACAGTCTATCCCATGTACTGTACCAGTGTTCGGAGCCAGCGCGTTGGCCGTTGCGAGCGGCTGACCGCGCCTGCCGATATTCCTGGATTGCGGTGGAAGAAGACCTACCCCGCCTGGCATAGGCGCCAGCGGGAAGCGCTAGCTCAGGCTCGTGTCATTGCCAGATTGTCTGAGGTTTCCGTTATGAAGGCAAGGCGGCTGCTCAATCAACATCACTCAATGTCCTCCAAATCCTGGTTTTGTGCATCGTGTGCTACGTCCGACTTCCTGGACCGGCTGTCCTGCAGAAGCTGCGGTGTCCCACGTAGCGAATATGGCTCAGCCGCGGTTGCGGATTCGTTCGAAAGGCAGCCGTGGGTCAAGAACAACCAGGCACGTCATTCGAAGGGCCCGCGTGGACGAGAAAGGACCAGGGCTGGCAAAGGACCAGATCAGTCGACAGCGGCGGCCGACGGAGAGGAGACGCCTACCTCAGCAAGGCGTCTTCCACGTACGAGGTCGCCGTCTGTGTCGTTTGCCGACGAGGACGAGGAGGATGTTGGACCCAGGAACGAAGATCAGAGACCTTTGAGTACCATGCTGGCTCTTCCATCGGAGGCACGTTTGCACAAGCATTTCCTCAGGGAGCTAGACTTCTCCGCGACGGCCAAGGAACTAAGCGTTTTCATGTCCGAGTGCCGACAGCAGCTGAGGGTGTTAGCTGGGAAGGGCGGGGGCCCCCTCCATTGCGTTCGTGGGCGGCCCCATGGGGGATCGAGGCTCTCACTCCTAGGCAGCAGTTGCGGGTGCAGATTTTTGTCTGTATTGGCGGAGGTAGGGGGATGCGGGTGGGGGGGAGGGGGGGGGGGGGCATCCTGCTTCCTCCACCTGGGAGCCTCGTGCAGTTCCCTCGTGGAGCTTTAAACCCGTGAGAGCCCTTGCAAGTACCCCATGCGCTTCGCATACTGAGTTTGACCAGGGCGAAGTCGTACAGGAAGCAGGTGGGGCGCCCACTGGCATCGTCTAGGCACCCTACACGGCATGCTGCCGCGCCTGGGGGAGGCAAGTGTGGCCGCGGGCCCAGAGCTCGTGCGGCGCTGCTTGGCTGGGGCCCTGCCAATGATCGCTTCCGAACTGCGCCCGAGGAAGTTTGCCCAGAGGCGACGTGCAGAGTCTTCGGTCAGGCGCTCCTGTGCGCAGTCGCTCCCTCGGTTGAGAGTTGCGCGCGTGATGCAGACCAGGCCGAGACGGATAAGTTGCTTCGATTTTCTGATTCCATTTCCCTTTCTCCTAATGCTCCTGAGATGGGGCTTGATTTTGCTCTCGGTAGTTTCATGAGAGCGGTGTCGGCGATCTCTCGTACTGAGAAGGTTTTTGGGCCCAGTTGCGTAGGGCATGCTGTGGCTGAGGAGCAGGGGCTCGATAATTCCCATTCTATTGCCATCGCGTCTGCCGTCGAGACGCCGCCTGTGCCTCCGACTCAGGAGAAGGAAGCTAGCGTGACGTTTCCTTCTCATGTCCCCCCCTCCGTCTCGCGTGATGCGTATGGTCCACTGTCCGGGCCGATCCAGACAGCGGGCAGAGCGGAGCGTATGGGTCTTCTGTATGCAGTCAAGCTATTACTTGCAGTTTCGCTGGTGGTGACGGACTTCTCGAGCATGGCTCAGGAGGGTATGGCGTGGGCAGCCCTATTGGCCGACGCCCAATCACAGTGCGCCGACCTCTGGCGTGCAGTGTTCAGTTGGGTACAGGGGCGACAGCCGCCCCAATTTTACTGGTGCCCTCCTTGCCCACGAGACTGAGGCAGAGTTCTTGGGAATGGGTCGGCACCCATGTGAGTTTTTTCTTGGCAACGAGAGTTGGCCGACTACTCTGCCGAGGCTGGTGCATCGAGGAACGCAGTGGCCAGTTCGCTCGTGATGTGGTACGACTGTATGCTTCGTGACGCTCGCGCGGAGGCTACAGTCGGGGCGTTGACCTAAGGAATCTGAAATAAGGAACGAGGCCCCTTTTTACCATAAGTTGAACTTCGATTTCCCATCGAAAACATAGGGAAAACCGGAGGCAAGCTGTGAAACAATTAAGGAACGCGGAGCCCCTCCCCAACGAAAAGGGTTCCTTCTTCAGGGACCCGATTGTAAGTTCGTGGCGCGGTGCGCGTGCGGGATGGCACATCGTGATGCTTTGAGTGATCGGCCCGCGCGTGCAGAGCGTGTCCAGGCTCCCGTGGCCCGTCGCGCTCACGGGGCACAGTGCGGCACTTAGGGGCCCTCCTTTCCCAATGTAGAGCGTGCTTGGCTGTTGCTACAGACGGGGCGCTGAGGAAGGAACCTTTTTCGTTGGAGAGGGGCTCCGTGTTCCTTGATTGTTTCACAGCTTGCCCTAGGTTCTCCTCAGGTTTTCGATGGGAAATCGAACCTTCACTGATGGGAAAAAGGGGCCTCGTTCCTTATTTAGGGTTCCTTAGGTCAACGTCCCGACTGTAGGGCCCCAGCTCGCCTCAACGAGATGTTGCTCACCACGTGTGGGCCCACGGTCCAACAGAGGCTGATGGCCCTCAGGGACCTCCAGCTCCAGGCGGCGCACCCCTTCGCACCCGTGCTGCTCAGGTGGCGTTGGATGGTTCTGACGCGTTCCTTGGCGGCGAGGGTTCCGATCATGCGAATCAGGGGCCCGAGGGAGTCAGTGCACCGCTCGATAAAGCTATCGTCGAGCTCAGTGGGCACCAGGTTCTGGTGTTCCGTTTCGCGCTGGTGTGTACCCTGTACGGGTCCTATCAAGTGTCTTTTGGTCAGGTTGCCATTTGTACGCTCAATAAGGACCGTTGCCTAGGACCTTCTGAACACCCCCAGCCCGTAGCAGACAGAAATTTCTGGTCTCTCGTGTGCGGGCTGGCAAGCATTCCAAAACTGGGATGCCTTTGGAGGTCGTTCTATAGTTTTGCGCCACGCTTCGCGTAGGCATGGCCTGGCCCGTCCTCGTGCGAGCTAGGCCCAATGTTGGCCCGTGCTCCCGTCCGCGGTTGCACGACTCGGTCGTCTGGTCGTCGTCCTTCCTCTCCTTCCTGTTTGATGACGCTTTGCTTCCTCCTCCTTCTTCTCCTCCTGCTCCTCCTTCTTCTTGTCCTCCTCTTCCAGCTCCTTCACCTCCTCCTCCTCCTCGTCCTCATCCTCCTCTTCTTGACTGACCTGCTTGGGCTACAGTGTGCGGCACGGTACGGTATTGTCCGTAGACGCGGCCGGTGCGGTACAGTAGACACGGTCGCTACGGTTTCGTCCGATGCGGTGGCCGCGGCTGGTACGTTATCGTCCGGTACGGTGGCCGCGGCCAGTTGGCGCGGTGCGGTATGAGCGGAAGATGGGGTCGGTGGATCGTGCCGCATCGCCGGTGCATCGACGACGTGGCGCAATGTGGAACCCGAGTTTCTCCACGCTTACGTCGCCGATGCGTCGGCGATGCCCCCCGATCCTCCGACCCGGATGTTCGTTTGGGAGGTTTCGGGGTCCATCTAGCGGCTCTGTTCGCTTCTGCTTCGACTCCAGCTCGACTCTGGTTCAGACTCCATTCCGACCCTTGTTCGATTCCAGTCGACGGACGTTCGACCGACGCGCGAGTGGAGCGAGGAGGAGGAGGAGGAGGAGGAGGAGGGAGGAGCGAGTGGTTCCAGGGAGGTCTCCAGAAGGAGCATCTGCCCACTAGCTCGGGCCCCAATCTGGGCGGCCCCCAGGCGGGACGGAGCTGAACGGGCTGCGGGTGGTGCGCGTCCGCGAGCAGTCGGGGGCCGAGGCGGACGCCTCCGCCATGTCCGTGGCCGCCGTGCAGGCCTCGGGGCACAACAAACAATTACTCCACGCGGGGCTCCCCATATGTGCATCTCATTCTCTTGGTACGTCTTTCTCTTGATATCTGTCAATGAGCGCCTGTGTGCGAGGGAGAACCGCTCGCTCGAGACATTCCCACAGTCTGCAAGCATGAGTGCGACCAATAGCAAATCTGAGAGCGACTGATTCTCAGTGTGAGTTAACAATATACACAATCACAATCAAACATATTCTTCGGGAGGGCCCCTCGTGGGAGAACCCACCGACCTCGGTATGGAACACCTGGGCTGTGGCCGTGGTCGATCTGGCCACCCTGGGGCGCCGCATCGACCAAGCAACCAGCACTGGGCTGGCCTCGGTGTCTTGACGGCCGTCGGCATGCGCAGGGCGTTGCCCCCCCCCCCCCCCCGGGGGGGTCTCCTCGGCATGGTCTGTGGTCGCCTGCTGTCCGCCGTGCAGGCCGCAGTGGCCGCGGGGGCGGCGGCGCTCGTGCTCGAGGCCCCCGAGCGCTCCGTTCCGAAGGCCGAGAAGCAGCGGCTGCTGCTGCCTCGGGACCCTCTCGGGGGAGGGGGGGGGGGGGGGCGGCGAGCGCGCAACGCCAGTGAGGGGGAGGGGCGGGGGAGAGGAGGGAGAGGAGGGAGAGGAGGGAGGAGGGAGGGGAGAGGAGGGAGGGGAGGGAGGAGGGAGGAGGGAGGGTGGAGGACCAGTGTGAACCCTCCGTAGCCATTTTGGCTCAAGGCTGAACGTTGTGAAGGACTATAGACGCCCGAGAATCAGCGATTAGCTTTGGACTACATCCCCGCAGGTGGCCCAAGCCATCTCTGTGGCCACCAGGAGGCCACGGCGCTCCCTGCGCCTCTCTTTTTCGCCCTCACCGCACTTGTTCTGCTCGGGCCTGCGCTGCAGAGGCAGCGCGTCTCGCCATGTCGGCGGCTGCCAACGCCTCGCCTGGGGGCAAGCGTTCTGGTCGTCAGCTTGGAAGGAACAAGTCCGCTACGAGAGAGTTGAGGATGAGGACGACGACGGCGAGATCGACATCAAGGGCATGGACGCTGCCGCACTGGCCGCGGCCCTTGTCGATGAGGACCTCTGCCCCACTCTTGAAGGTGCTAGATCCCCTGCTGTTCCTTGTGCGCCGCTTGGTTCAGCAGGATCTGGGATTTTGGAGACCATGCTGGCACTGGCGGTTCCACTCCCCAACACTATCGACTCACGCCTCTGTTCACAGCGGCTTCGGAGTCTACCACCACGACGGCAAGGGCTTAATATCCCAACGATGGTCTGCCTGGTCGTCCCCGTCCCGCACCAGCTCCTGCTGGTGAACTTGATCTCGGCGCTCTCGATGACGATGGGGCAGCACTGTGCGAGTATCGACAAGGCATTTGAGAAGAGGATGCTCCCGGCGGAGACGGAAGTTCGTGTCTACGACAGCAGGATCGGGAAGTTGGTGCGTGAGGTGCAGGAGCTGCGAGACTTGCTCGGGCTCGTGCGCCGTGAGGAGCCCCCCCCCCGCGTGCTCCTGGCGGAGGCTTCGACCGTCCCATCGACCCCACGGTCATTGTAGTCAGGACGCAGGTGCCGCTGCCCAAGCAGGCGGTCGGCAACTCCCTGCAGCCATGGCTCTCGGAGGCGAACCTCGGCGCTGAGGACTATGAGCTGCAGGGCGACGCAGTATCGAAGAGGTTTGAGATCCAGGTCAAGGGACAGAGCGAGCGGATATGCAGCTGGGAGTGTCAACCAGGCCATCGGCGCGCTCAAACTCAACAGTCGTGGTGCTGGCTGGCGTGAGTTCCATGCCGTCCCTCCGACTGGTGGCCCGCCCACGAGCATCAACGTTGGCCCCGATAAGAACCCGAAGCTGGCGGCCCGCGAGCTGGGCTGCAAGAAGACTGTGCGGAAGTTGCTGGAACTATACCCTGACAAGCGCTTCTTCGCCGACAAGGAGAAGATCGCTATCGGCACATCTTGGAAGGGCGTGGTGCAGTGCTCCCCTGCCCCTGCGGGTACGGTGCCGATGATCCAGTTCTGCGATCGTCACATGGGTGAGCTCAACATGGGCGCTGGCCTGGTCAGGCGCTCCATCCATGCCCTCTTCGGGGAGCAGAAGGACACTGAGTTGTGTCTTTAGCAGGCTTCTTGCGGCATGGGGTGCCGGCTCAACCTCTCGGCAATTGATCGCGATTTCGACGTGGAACGCTAGAGCGCTGCAGCGCCATGGTCTGCCGCTTCGTGATAAGAAGAGCAGGTACCTTGGGACTCTGTTGACCCCGCCACGAATCTTGGGATCCAGGAGGTTCATGGAACTTGGGAGGGAGCGGAGGACATGTTGCATCAGCTCCACAAACCGTTTACGATGTTTCACTCGTTCACTGAGGACGAGCGCGCGAATGTAGGTGGCATGCTCACATCCTTTCCTATCATGGGTGTGCACGCGCAGTATGTAGTCCGGGATGATATAGCCCATGGGAGAGTTCTGAACGTCACTGCGATTTTGGATGAGTCTGGGGACTGTTGGATTTCGCATTGGAATTTTCGCAATTTTGGGATGTCTCGGGACCTTCGTCAGCGGGTGGTGAGGGAGATCGAGCGTGATTTTGAACATGCGCGGCTTGCCCCTGGGCGAGCCTTAGTCATCCCGGCGGGCGAGGCCCCCCCGATGCCGAGTGCCCCGTTGGATTTTTTTCCAGCCGCACTTTGGCTACCGCGAGTGGCGTGCAGGAAAGGATAAGTTTTGGCAGGGGCTGTTCTCGGAAATGGTAGAGATTCAGAAAGATGAACCGACTCATTATTCGGTTGCCAACGACCGGACTAGCATCGTTGACCGCATCTTCGTTTCGATTCCAGGGTGGGGCCCCATTCAGATGAATGCCCTCGGGGCGACGATCGATCAAGTTGGAGTAGTAAACCATCTCGACCTCTACGACCACACCCCCGTCTCGGTGGACCTCAACGGGGCCCCTCAGCTTAGGCCCCAGGACCGACCCATCCCCGAGCAGGTGTTCGCCACCTCGTACTTTCAGAATTTCATGCGAGCGTATGTTGAGGCTGTCTCCTGGGAAGAGCTCTCGCCGCCGCTGATGATTGACTTATATGCATATCTCATGACGGAAGGTGCCAGGTGTGCTCGGAACGCTGTTCTTCGCTTCGAAGATAAAGGGAAACTCGGTCGCATCATGTTGCATCGCTCGGTCGCTCGGGCAGTCTGGTGGCGAGACCGTGGGCCTGGCGCCATCCTGCTGCAGTCCCGCGCTCTGGCTCGGAGTCTTGTGCAGATCGACCCCGACACTGACGCGCTCTCCTTGCGCGACGCGGATCGCTTCTCCCGCGGGCTTGACCAGCTCCAGACTGAGGATTTCGAGGCCCGACGGTCGAAGCTAGCTGAGTCGATGACGGACGAGGCGCCTGATAATATACGACGTAAAGGGCAGCGACAGATCCGACGATTGCAACAACGTGCTTCGATTTGGGCCCCGTTCGACCGACGTCTGACGCTGAGAGGTATCAGGCTGCCATCCCAGGAGATCGCCACCCAGCCATGGGACATGTCTCGGGAGATACGTGGACGTTGGGGCCCTGTTTTCGGGCAGAAGCAAGTTCTGGAGGCCTCGGGTGAGGCTTATCTCAAGGGGTTCGGGGGCCAGATGGACTTCCCCAACATTCCTCCTCCTCCTCTTGCTGGGGATGCGAGCTCGACTGTTGCGTTTAGAAGACTCTGCGCCTGGCCCCGATCGGCTGCCTTATGCAGCTTGGCGGCGCGGACCGCGAGCCGCTGAACTTCTAGACGAGCATCTCTGGTGTATTCTGGAGGGGAACTCGCCGCTCTCGTTTTTCAACGATGCCTTGGGGATCTTCATACCAAAGGGGGGGGATATTGTCTTGGGGCGATTCGTGAGGTGAGTGCTCTTCGACCGCTCGGGCTGAAAAAACTCAGATAATAAGATGCTGGCGGGCGCTGTCACCTGGCCTTTCGCTCTCGAGACGGCCGGGGTCAGCTGCCCGTTGCAGCGAGGGTTCGCGATCGGTCGCCAAGTCGGCACGAACGTCGTAGAGCTGGACACTTTCGCCAGGCTGGCTTCCATGTCTCCGACGGCTGCGATCGACCCCCCTGCCATCCTCACCTGCGGCTTCTCCCAGGCTTGTCCGTCTGTCGCCCACTCCTGGCTCCTCTGCGTCCTGAACCGCATGTCTCTGCCCCCATCCGCTGCTCTGGTTCTTCGCCGTTCTATATGCTCAGGTCCAGTGCTGCGGCGTCTTGGGCGGTCAGATGCCTTGGCTTTTTGCAGTGTGGTCTGGCATTATCCAGGGATGCCCCGCGAGCGGAGCTCTCTTTGCGGCGTCGCTGGGCCCGTTCTTGCTCGACTTTCAAGCGTGCGCCACGCATGAACGTGGAGGGGCGGTATCGGCATGTGCCGATGATCTAGGAGCCGCCGTCCTCAAACTGAAGTTCCTTGCTGTTCTCTACCGTGTCTTCAGGATGGCTACTGGCCGCGCTTGCCCTCGAAGCTCGTGAATGCCATGCCGCTCCTGTGGCCGGGGCGATCTCTCCCGAGCTTGCTGCGGAGAATGCTGCTGCCATCCCCGCCATCATGCCTGAGTGGGCCGAGTTTGTGGCCGCGCCGAACTGGAAGTATTTTGGAATGTGGGCGGGCCCAGGAGGGCATGGGAAATCGTGGATAGCTCCGCTGAACAAATATCGACATCGTAGTAACATGCTTTCGGGGGTCAGCGCGCCCACAGCCGTCTCGGCCAACAGACGCCTATTCCCAGAGATGCGCGACGACCCTTTCTTACGTTGCTCAATGCTGCCCGCCGCCGCCTACCTTGATGGCGATCGAGACGGCGACTCTGGCCAGAGTGTTTCACTGGCCCCACTGCACTCTCAATCGACTTGGGTGGTTCTCGATGAATGCGTTGGGTGGTCCTCGAGTCCCGTCAGTTATCCTGCAGTCGTACGCCGCGAATGCCAGAGCAGCCCTCTCGACGTTCCAGGATTTCTGGCCGAGGATGTACAGGAGGCTGCTCGAGAGAGCCTGCCTCGCGCTGCCGCTCGCTGACGTTTGCTGTGGCCGTCTGTCGCCGAGATCATGGGCAGAACCTGCGCGCTGCCAGTTCTTGCGCGCTGCCTCTCTGGGATTCGCCGACGACCGTCTGCGCTCGATGATGACCCCTGGGTTCCAGGAGCTTCGAGGTTTTTCTGAAATGGATCGCCGTGAGCGCAGGGTGGGAGGTAGATTTTTTTTTTGGTGGGGGGGGGTCCGGATTCAACGTGCGCTTGTTGGCAGTTTTACGGAGACAAGGTTCCCGAGCGAGGGCCTGAGGTTCATTTTCGTTCGCAGGCTCCGCAAATGGTTTCCGGATCCCGAGTTTAAACTTCGCGTTTCACGAATCGACTTCGACTGGGCCATGGTCAGTGGCACCATGTCCCAGATTAAACCTCCCCATGCGTTTGCTCTGATTAGGGCGTTTCCAGTGCCTGGCTCACCCAGCAGAGATTTCAGAAAGATGAGTCTCGGTGCGCTTTCGGCTGCGGCGCCCCGGGTTCTCTTGACCACTATTGGTGCTGCTCTTCCATGGCCGCTCTCGTCTCTGCGATCCTTGGTCCTGGGGGGGGGAGGACGCTTGGGGCGGACTTCAGATGTCGGGCCTCGAGGCCCCCAGTATTGCTCGATTCGACCGACGTTCCTCTATGCTACTCGTTGCTTTTTTGCCAAGGCTCGCGCCCGCAAAGCCCAGGCTGGCAGGCCGTTCCCCCAACGCGAGGCGCAGGGATTCATCCCCGCCATCAGCGTCCAGATGAGGCGCTAGGAGCAGGACAGGCGAGGACCTCCGATCGGCCACGCGTGGGGACCAGTGTGAACCCGGGATGCATCAGCGATGTTGCCATGAGTTGTCCCTTCGAGTTCTCTCCTCGCAGATCCCTGAAAGAAATTGCTTCCATTGCGGGAGGTGGCCCATTGGAAGACAACCGTCTGAGAATCTTCAACCGTGCGAAAACACCGTTCCTGGGATTTCAGCACCGCCAATCAACGTGACTGCCGCGTATTGCAAAGTCTATATCGTCAGAACATCATTCTGGGGATTTCGGCCATGCAAATATATGAAATCGCGAACTGACAAGACGAACGCGCGCGGCGCTGAGGCGAGAACAGCAGTTCGAAACGTTTGTTTGTGGGTTAAATAAACAATCAGAACAATATAATAATAATATTAATAATACAAACATTACTACTACTACTACTACTACTACTACTACTACTACTACTAATAAGAATACTACTACTACAACTAATAATAATAACAATAAATATAATATCAATAAAAAATAATAATCATACTACCACTACTACTAGTAATAATACTAATAATAATAATAAGACTAATAATAATATTAATAATAATAATACTAATAATAATAATACTAATACTAATAATCATATATAAAAATATAAAACACAGAATTTGTTACAAGCTTTGAGATGAATGTGTGGGGCGCTACGCGAGAACCGCATTTTGAAAATGGGCCGCGCTGCATCTTTGCACCAGTTGCAAGCTTTCAGGTCGGATATGCGCGGCGCTGTGGGGAGAACCCCATTTTGAGCCCCCCCCGCCCTCCATCCGTGAAAATGTTGCAAGCTTTTCATACGACTTTGCGCGGCGCTGAGGCGAGGGCCCCATGAAAACCACCTGCCCTCCAACCTTGAAGCTGTTTCAAACTTTTAAGCCGGACGCGCGTGGCGCTAAAGCGGGAACCGCATTTTGAAAAAGGCCCGCCCTCTACTTGTGAAGTTGCTGCAAATTCGAAGCTTCATGATCACAAGTGGTGAGAACTCTCACGCGAAACGTCCGGCCCCTTCTGCCGACGCGTCTCGGGGTGCGACATTCAGGAGTTATCTATAAGGACGCGGGATGGAGGAGGGGGGGGGGCGGCGAGAGAGGGGGTGGAGGAGGGAGGGGGTCGGGGAGGGGAGGGGAGGCGGGAGGCGATGGGGTCCGGGCGGATAGGGGAGGGCAGACGGGACATGGGGGAGCTTTGGCAGTGGTCCAGGGGCCTCGTCAGGAAGAGGGCCGCTCCTCCCTTCCAGCGTGCGTGGGCGCGCAGGGCGTCCT